ATCATGGCTCTTGAGTTTTAATTGATTTTAATGACATGCATATCAATTCTTGGTGCTACAAAGTAGAATTAGGCGTCTCTACAGGACTGTGTATAATGTATATCTCTTAGATTTATTTTATTATTTTTAAGCAGGATGGGGGGGGGGAGATATAATTTGCTTGCATTATGTAGGTTTTGAAACAACAGCAACAAAACAACCCAAGCTTCTTTGCACTTTAAAATGTAGTAGAGGTGAGAGTGGAATTAGAGTGTTTTTGACAGGTCTGCTGAAGCCTGTGCTGCTTGCTTCTCTGTCGATATTTGTCCTTTTGTCTTTGGTTAGTTTTGGTATTTTGTTGTGGGGTGGTTGTTTTTTACAAAAAAATGCCAGCCTCTTTTTCTTTCTTACAATCTTGCATGCAGAGATTTCTATCTTTCTCTCAACCTTTTCTTTTCTTTTGGTTCCCTTGTGACAAACAGACCATTCTCTCAAGGAATGTACTGATTTATATTGCTCCTCCCCACCCCCCCTTTTTTAAAAAAATTATGATACCAAAAAAGTGTGTATGACAGGAGAACGAAATACACCCAGCTGAGTCTCTGCAAATATCTATATAAATAAAGATAAATTAAAATTGGGTGCTGTAAGAGCAGTGGATTTCTCTCCTCCAGCTGCAGTCTCTTGTTCATGTGTGTCTGTTTGACCTCTCTGGAAGATTTTGCTGCTACTATAAATAGGAGGGATAGTGAAACAATTCAACTCGGTAGCTCACAATGTTGATTTCTGCGCTAGCAGTGTTGGTCCTACAGACAAATACAGGAAAAGACTGCTGTTTTGGAATGACCCTCAAAACAAAACTTACACACGTTGCTGAAGTTCTGTGATTGGAACTCCCGAGGTGAAACTTGGTCTTAAAAAGTAGCCATGATGTTAATGGTGGGAGGATACTGATTGGGCAGATCCATCTATTAAAAGGGCCTTATTTGAATATATTGATAGGCAAGCAGCCTGAATAACCCGGATTAGCCTGAGGGTGTCACACCTTGGAACATAAGCAAGATTGACCATGGTTAATACTTGGACAGGAGACCATCAAGGAAGACAAGGGTTACTATGTAGAGAAAGGCAATGGCAAACCACTTAGAATCATAGAATCACAGAGTTGGAAGGGGCCGTACAGACCATCTAGTCCAACCCCTTGCTCAATGCAGGATCCGCCTAGAGCATCCCTGACAAGCATTTGTTCAGCCGCTGTTTAAAGACTGCCAGTGAGGGGGAGCTCACCACCTCCCGAGGCAGCTGATTCCACTGTTGAACAACTCTAACTGTAAAAAAGTTTTTCCTGATATCCAGCTGGTACCTTCCTGCCCTTAATTTAAACCCATTATTGCAAGTCCTATCCTCTGCTGCTAATAGGAACAGCTCCCCACGCTCCTCTAAGTGACAGCCCTTCAAATACTTAAAGAGAGCAGTCACGTCCCCCCTCCACCTCCTCTTCTCCAGGCTAAACATTTCCAAGTCCCTCAGTCTTTCCTCGCAGGGCTTGGTCTCCAGGCCCCTGATCATCCTCGTCGCTCTCCTCTGCACCTGCTCCATTCTGTCCACATCTCTTGCCTTGAAAAACCCTTGATGGGTTGCATTAGGTCAGTTGTGACAATGGCATATTGTTGTTATTGATGGGCAAGGTATGAGAGAAGGCAGTCCTTCAGCGACTTTCTGCTGCTAAAATGCTTCTAAGCACTGCTAGTTCTTCTGCACACTCATATGCCAGCATTGCACCATAAACTGTATTGCTACAGGAAAAGGGATATGATTATCAGCATTCAGTGCTCTGAGGAACTGGAACTGGACAGCATTGAGTGTGTGTGGGGGGGGCAAGGTAGATGTTTGTCCAACATGTTTGTACAGCCCTGAACTGTGGATTGGGCTGATGAAACCATGATTTTTGTTTGAGCAATTCAGGGGTAGCATCTGGCGTTGTAACACATTATTTGGGCCTGTTCACACAGGAAGAAATCGCAAGGTGGTAGGGGCCTTCAGCAACAAACGAACACAGCTGTGTTTTGTCTGTTTAAATCAGGAAGATGCCGGGTTCTGAGAAGTGGATCAACTCACTGACAGCTTCCTTTCTATAGTGTATGAGAAGGGCATGTGCCTGGCAAAGGCTCATGCAGGGGGTGGGATTCTTCTTGAGCCAAAAACCAGAATGTAGGGCTTAGGCAAATCCTTTAGTGATTACTCTCTGCCCCAGATCCTGTTGGCCCCTATTACTTTTGGCTGCTGGTCATGACCCATCCTGCCCTGCTAGCAGGCAGCCTGCTCACAATTTCATCTCCTTCCTTAACCAGAACCTGCTGCTAATGCTCTTTGACCTCAGAGGACTATGGGCCTCCTTCACACTCCTCTTTTTCCTGCAGAAAAGAAGCTTGTGCATTAAGCCAGGAAACAACTTTTCCGTTTAGTGCTGCTATAAAACCACTGGTCCCTGCGAGTTCAATTCCAGGCAGAACTGAGCCTAGGAAAAAGAAAGCTTGGATATAATGTTAACAGTATGCAGGGTAATCTAGTAAGGAATATCATAAATAAAACATTTTCGCCAAGAGTGGTGTACTAATGAGCAGCAGTAGTGAGATGTAAGCATGTGACATTTTGCCCTATGCGCTAGCATCTCCATGTTTTGAAATGTCCTAATTAAAAGGAATTGTAATGGAAACATACAGTCAATGACTGGCAGGGACAGCAGAATCTCTCTTTTGAACTGTATAAAGCTTCTTGAAGAGCAGCTGCAGAAATTGAAACTATGGCCTTTTATTCTCTTTTTCAGGGGTGACATTGCAAAAAAAGGCTAAATAATCCTCACTGTTAACCATATTGCTCTTCTGCAAATTCCTCTACACTTGATCAAGAGCTATTTCAGTAGCAGCCAATTGCACAGTTAACAGACCTTGCCCAGGAGCCAGCTGCTCTGCAAACAGTGGGGGAAGGAGGAGGTTAAGATGCTCTGTTGATGTTTGGACTGAATAGGAACAGCCCACGTTGTTGAATGTGGATTGTATCTTTGTGAAGCCCTAATTTTTTTGGGGGGGGGAGAATGCAACAGAATAGCATTAGATGTCTCATCTGCTTATATACAGGAGCTAAGGCAGGCAGCCAACTCTGGTTTGGGAAATTCTTGGAGATTTGGGGGTGGTGCCAGGGGAGGGGAAGGAGCTCAACGGGGGGCGGGGGGTGTTATGCTATTGAGTTCACCCTCTGAAATGGAAGATTTGTATTCACTTACCGTTAAGCTTCCTTCTTGGTGGTCCAGAGTGGGGCAGTCCTTGACTCCTTACTCCTGGGAAAGCACCTCCCCCTTCCGTAGGCAGGGCCGGCAAACTTTGATCCCAGAGGGGAGGGGCTTATCCTCTGATCCCCAGTCATACTGAAAGCTACCTCCGAGCTGCTGTAAATTCACTTAAAAAATAACTCCTTCCCCCTCAGACAACTGGGGAATACCATCACAGCCATGGGCTT